GTGGTCATCCTTGTCCAGGGCTGGTACCGGGTACCAGGAGGATGGGCTCGCTATACGAAACCGTATAGCGCAGAATTCCACAAAAAAACAGAAGAGGTTGTTTTGTCGGCCCAGACTCCAGGTGCACCATACGTTTTCGCGGTGGAACGCCGACCTCCTTCAACCACCCTCCAAGTAACGACTTTTGCAGGCTGGTTACTATACGGATCATATGGTGAAGCGGGAGGGCGCCTTCTGACAACTATACAGCGATTTCCAAAGATGCATTTCGTATAGGTAGTTGAGCGATGTCCCACTATACGAAATCATACAGCAGATAGTAGTGGAGCGGGACCCACTGAGTGGCAGCGGGGGGACAGGTTCATTACGAATTTCTGGGCTGAAAAAAACAGGAAAAAAACAAAAAAAAAAAAAAACCAGGGACGTCCCACTGGAAATCACGGCCGGGTGCTTCCCAGCCATCAGATCACAAAGGATCTGATGGTGGTGGTTGCAACAACATTGGACAAAGTAACTGCTACATTTTCTGGAATAAACTGAACTTCTGTCAGCAGTGATCCTGACACCGTCAATATATATACTTATATATACTTATACTTATTACTTATATACCCCTGGCCGGTATCACCCACCTGTTGTAGCAGTTATCACACCTGCTGGTGTGTGCAGTTCCCGCATGTTCCCTCATTGGAGGCTTGAGCACGGATGTGGCTGCTACGGGGTTCCCCATAATACTATAATGACAATGAAAAAGGCCTGAAAGGCCTTCCTGTCCAGATTCGACAGGTAATTAAACTGGTTGGGAAACCACCACTCCCTCCGACAGCAGGAAATGGCCCCCCTTGTAAGTTCGGGCGGGTTTTGAGGGAGGGCGGCGACTGGAGGCCGAAACGGCGGGCATAGTCCCACAATTTGACATCGGCAACTTTGGCGATTTTTTGCGGTTAGAAGCATTCACAGAAAAACTTGAAAATTGGAGGGTCCGTAGATTTCATCATGATATTTCCAGCAAATATATCAAAAAAAACAGAAAAAATAATTTTGACGTCAAAACAATCGCTGCGCCGATTTGGTGCATGTTCCAGTTTTCGCACTGTGCCATTTGCGGGCTAAGGGGAAAAATACTCCAAGTTCAACGAGTTTTCGTGCTCCGAAGAATACGTCAAAAAACCTCAAATTTGGAAAGTTCATAGATTTGCTCGTGATCTTTTTAGGAAAAAAATAAAATAAAAATAAAAATCATGTAGACCATAAAATAAATCGCGGATGAAAATCAACACATTTTCAGCTTTTGCCACTCTTTCGATTTTCCACACTATACTACCGGTAGCCCTGATGAAACTATGCTACCGGTCCCCCCAATTTCTTGACGTCCTGCCTACCACAATGTGCGACGTTAGGCTTTGGACACACAGGCACATCCTGACGTGCCGGCAGCCTGACGTCGGATACACTTTAAAAGAAAGCAGTCCCCTAAAATAAACAGGGACCCAGTTTACCTGAACGGGTTATCTCAGTGAGCAATTGGGTATTTCAAAATCCATACGTGGGTTCAACACCAACCCGGCTACTGCAAACGAACTCCAAATACTTACTAACTAACTATATATGTGT